GACCATTAACAGTCAGATGGTACTTGTTGTGCACCAATTTCTGTTTTTACTTGTGTTTCAGATAGGTACTTTGTAAAGCATAGGTATATCTTCAGGTTCTTTATTTGAAGAATATCATCTTGAGTTGTTAGTGTCCCAGAAACATTTTTTAATGATTGAAATGTACCATTTTTATAATTGAAAACTGACTTCTCCTGGAATGGGTTCTAGAATAACATGGCACTGTGCCTGTTTTAGGAGTGTCTGCTGCTAAGGGTGAATGGTCAGTTGAGGTAATAGCACAGTTCAGGAGGGCTCAAGCAATGGTCTGACAAGCAAAGTTGAAATTATAAAACCTGATGCTGCATTGGCAATTGTAGTCAATATTTGTATTTATGTTTATTAAGAGAAATCTCTGAAGGGGACAAGGGACTAGGATTTGCCATGTTTTTCACTGTGGTGCTTTTTTACCATACAGGAATCTGAGTAAAAGTTCCATCACCTTACAGTTCTGTGCATTTTCTCACCATAGTTAATTATAAACATCTTCAGAAAGGAAGATCCTTGAATTTAGCAGACTGTCCTTGGACCTTTAAAATTAACATGCTGCATTAATTTCTTTGTGTAAGTCTAATGCCTTGGCTGAAACCTTACTAAGTGAATACGACCTAAAGAAACAGCTGTGAGAGCTTCAGAGTGATTTTTGGATTCATATTTCCAAAAATATTAGTAACATTCTGTATTCACTTCTAACATATCAGCAGCAATTTCATTTTTCTCTTTCATCTATATTACTGTATTTTATGCCCTGACCTTTTGTTCTTCCTTTGCCTTTCTGAACCTACATAAACTATTCTAAGCATGCTGCAAAGCATTTAACACCCTTCAGTATTGTCTTTCACAACAGCACTGCCATGCTAACGTTTAGGAGTTTGTTGAAGCAGATGAGCTTTTTGGTTCACTATTTAACCAGATGCTTTTGATCTGAGCTGCTTGTGAGAAAACAGCAGTATTCTTTTTCATGCTTCTTTTTTCTTTTTCTTTGGAAAAACACAGACAAATAACATATTCAGGTTCTGTCCAAAAATAGCGATGGATCAGACACCTGTTTCTGAGAATAATCCTGATTAATTTATAGATATCCCATTATGGACAATTTTTTTTCATGGACAAAGTGCCCATTTTCTCAATACTCTTTTTCTCTTTCTTCTTATTGTTTGTTTTGTAACATATTGATCAGCATTCTCCCTGCTGTCTGAAGAGCTCACTCACAATCTAGTCAACACAATACCTGTATCATTTGCTGGCATGATGGTATTTATGGCTGCAGATTTCCTAAACTCACTAGGTCCCAATCCTTCCATTACACAGTTTGTATTATCACTTGTTTCATTTATTCAGCCTATGCTAAAATCACCTAATATTATTTCTGACTATGCCCTAAAAGCCTGCAGATGTTTTCCCAATTTGCCTGTAATATTTATGGCTGATCCCTTTGCTCTGTAAACAGCGAGCAATGTGGGGTAAATTAATCCTAAAAAATGCCTTAATTGTGGTAATCATCAGCCTCTTTGGCTGGCTGAGGTGGTGTGTGAGCGGAGAAAGGCTGCTGACATTGATCATTTTTTTGTCCTTGTTGCAGCTTTGCTTGCAAATACACATGTAGTCTTCAAGCTGTTTCATGAAACACGATGTTTTCCAATAGTTATTGGCTAAAATATGAAGTCCTTAAATTCATAATATTTGGTGTCACAATACTATATGTGTTTGAGGCCCAGTTTCCAAAGGTATACCTTGCAGCTTCCTCTTCTTTTGGTGACATCTGTTGACTGTCCAGCTTATCTGGGAAATACCCTATCAAGGGTTTAAAAACAGAAAAAAAAAAATCTAACTCTAGACACTCAGGTTTTAAATACATCCCATCCTAGTGTTCACTCATTAAGATTAGTTCTAAATTGGGACTTGTCACATGAAAATCTGCAGAATTTTGAGGTGCTTCATGTCAAACAAAATCTGGAATTCAGTGCTTGCTTCAGATCAATATTGTGATAATAGTTTGAGTTGTTTTCTAAATTGTGTTCCAGGATATCATTGCTTGATACTCATATTCATAACAGTTGCTGTAAACATAATCTGTGAAGGAAGTCAGCAGAGGGTGAGTGCATCTAGCTGAACACACCACCTTTCCTGGCAGGGGAGCCATAAAGCTTTTCCCACATCCCATTCCCTTGCAGCTAGCACTCCTGTTTTATTTCTGTGGCATTTGTGTATTATTAAAAAATAAGCAATAATAGTATATGAAACAGTGCTCTAAAGTATGCTGCTGTGCTGGTTATCTTTTTTTCTTACATTCCATGTTGGACACAATAGTGCCCTGTGTTTGCACAGTTGTGTAATTTTTGTTACATGCAACGAGAGTTTGTTTTCATAGGGTCTGTGTGTAAGAGCTCAGTATAAATGTTTGTTATTATCATGTTGGGCTCTAATGGGCTGGGCTTGCAAGTGCTCTGCTTGCTCAGTGCCCTCCACCCAACAAAGACCTGCAGGATCTGTAGCCTGCAAATATGCAACAGCTTAAGCTAACAAAAAATAACACTTTTTCATGCAGAGTATCACAATGTGCAGCTTAATTTCTCCTTTGAAATTAATTGACGAGTGAATAAATATTTTTTGAATATTTGGAAAATGAGATTACGATATGAAATGGAAATGTGTTTAAGAGATCTGGGGAGAGATTACACTTGCAGTAGTTTAACAATTTACCTCCATGTGCTAGTGGTATCTTTATGTGAATTAGAGCAGGAGAAGCAGTGGAGAGCAATAGTCAACATCAAAAATCTACCTAAGGGAAATAGAGCCTCCTAATGACTGGTATGGTCTCCATCATTGTACCATCTGAATGTTTGAGAAACTTTAGGAGATTTATGTTTGCAACACCCCTGTGAGATGGGGATCTGCAGTTAGACTCTTTCACAGATTGGAATGGCAAAGCACAGGAAGTTTTCGAAGGTCAAAAACAAAGTCTGTTGTGGAGTTGGGAACTGAAAGAGTTGTCAATGCTGAGGCCAATGTACACTGTAGTTTTATATCCCTTGAAATTTCATCTGCTTTCTGATTCACGCAGTGAGCCAGGCAATTTCTGTTTCTGAAATGGTGTTTTAATTCATTTCTCAATGCTAATTGGTGATAAAATGGGAAGATAAGCTTGTTTAGAGTAATTCATTTACAATCTTTTTCTTTTTGTAATGCTCTGGATGTCAGTGATGAACCCAGAGCTAATGTTAAAAACAACTTTAAATGAAAATATTTTAATCTTTAATCCAGACCTTCTCTGTGGTAAGTAATCACCTGTTCTGAGATGATCTGAGTTCACACATGGGTGTCGATTTGTCAGTTTTTAAAATTAATTCTTTACTGTGCTACATAGGATGAAGATCTCCTTCAGTTGCAGGAATAAAATAATTTACTGCTGCTAATGTAGATTTCTATGGTAAATCTGAAGATCTTAATTCGGCACAACATGTCTCTCAGTGGAAGCACCATAAACTGTTCTCCATAGTGCCCTCCTCTGAAGGGAATGCAGCACGTAGGGAATTGGGAAAATAGGAGAAAGGGGCAGAAGGGGGAGGTGGAGCTGTTTGGTTTTCTTTTCCTATAGACACGTGAAGCTTGGAGATTACATTTCTCTGTGTTTGGCAGTGGATGCACATGATTTGTGTCTGTGTGTGTGTCTGTGTGTGTGTGTGTGTTAACACAGACTGGAAGACCCAACCCTCCCTCTTATGTGTGGACTCAATCCTCACCTCTCCAAGGGGATTGTGTGTCAGTTTTGGCATAGCACAGATGCAGTGGATCTTGGCAGCTAAGACTGCCCCTTCCAAGCATTTTTATATAGGAAGAGGCGTGTGCTGGCCAGTTTCAGAATTCTAGCACTGCTTTTAACTGTGAATTTCCAGAGTTCTTTCTAGCCATTTGTCAGTTTGGAGTTTGGTTAAATATATACATCCATGACAAATTAGCTGCTCTTCTCAGGGATATGTGGGTATAAGAGGTGTATAGGCTGACTTGAAAAGACTTGAAGCTGGAGATTAGCTTTTTACCACATGGCTCAGCATTTAGTACTGCCTGAAATTTCTTCTATGAAATGATGAAGAGTAAGATAGGTGAGGCCAAATATTTATCTTTCATTCAGTAGGAAGGTACTTTTAGTCAGTATTGTCTATTCTTTTTTGTCTTCCCATTCTAACTCCCATCCTTCTTGTGGAGCGACTGATATGAAGAAAGAGGAAAACCTGGAAAAATGTTTTCATTATAGTTTGGAGAGTTTTCAGTTGACAGTTTTTCAAAAACTTTGCTTTTGGAATTGTTGGCAGTGTTTAAGTTTGGGTGTTTTTATTATAATCATTGGAAAGTTTTATAGATTGGGTCTCATATTCACAAACCCAAAAAAAATCAAAAGTTGAGAACTGAATAATTCAAGTTTTTTAAAATCTGGTTAGCAAATGTATGTTATTGACATTGATGGAAATGACAAGTAGATCTGCATGAGTGACAGGTAAATTCTGAATGGTCAAGACTGTAGAATATTAGCACTGCCCACAACTCCTTGTCTATGAAGCTGAAGGCTGAGTGCCCCTTATGTTTTTAACTTTGGTTATTTCATTGCATTTATCCTTTCTCAGACATAATTAAACAGGTGATGAAAAACAAATTGTAAATAACATAGTTATCCCTGGTGTTGGAAAGAATAATGCTCAATGGTGTTCATTCACATAAGTAGTAGGAAATGGATTCATGTATTTCCTATGCTTGAATAGCTTAATATATCAGTTGTTGTGGTTCATCATTAAAGTCATGGAAATGACAGTGTGCTTTTAAAATCCGAAATTGCAAGATACGCTTTGATAGAATGAGGCCAGCTCATAAAATCAAAAGGATAACATAATAAATAAAATTCCAGAAACCTGAGCATGTCTACTACAGCTTTGCTCTCCTTCTGACTGTGGTGTTGATGTTGGCAGGCAGTAGGCTGTGATCGACAACTTGGGAGCAATGCCAAGGAAGACAACTGTGGAATCTGTGCAGGAGATGGTTCAACATGCAGGCTGGTGAGGGGACAAGCTAAGGCACATGTCTCACCAGAAAAAAGTAGGTTGCCAATTGATCCTATGATAATTTATCCTTGACTGTGTTTTCTGCTTGTATATTAGCATACATATTGCAGAGTGACCTTTTAACTATATACTTGTTTGCAGTTTTACAAAGCTACTTATTCTAAAGTCTGTGCTAGATTAGTCTATTGAAATTCCATGAGGGATACCACACATTAGGGTATAGCTAGGAAAGAATTTGAGATATGCATTTTTTTTTATAGAGCTACTCAACTCATTCTATCAGGAATAACCATCAAGATGCACATCTTATTTTAGAGGGTATCCTCATGTTGCAATATATGTGATGCTGCAGCAATGTTTTTAAATCATGGAAACATATTATAGATGGTTTTATGGAAATTGTGGCTCATGATTGAAAGTGCCTGGATTTCAAATTAACTTTGCTTTTTCTTTTTTATTTTGTGTCTGAAAACAGTTGAACTTCAGGGGCAAGTTAACTATCTGTATGGTACAAAAAGCACAAAATGAAAGCGAATAATATTTGCATCTTTTTTGTGTGGTTCAAATTTTGCCATTCTTTCTCAAAATAATTAACATCTCACTGTGAGTAACTCTGTAGGTCTCAGTAGTAGTGAAAATATAAAAGAGGGGGGATATCAGAATTGGACCCTTTAATGGAGTTGTAAGAGTCTGACTGTGTCAATATGCAGGTAAGGTTTGTCACACCGGGGCTCAACCTCTGACACTTGTGCTTTCCACCCTCTCTGGTGATGCTCCTTGTAATCTCACATCATATGTCCTGTGTGTTTAGTATATGACATAGTTGCCTCACATAATTTTTTCTTTTTCTGAACTCACAATGTGTATGTGTCATGTATATCACATGGAGATTGAGCCCTTGGGGTTCAATACCTTCCTGCAAAGTCACAAGACACACAGGTGCTCTGAGAGTCAAAACTCAAACTTCAAATGCAAGAAGGTTTTTTTAATGGATGAAGCACCTGCCTTTGACAGCTGCGTATGTTTTTATAATGTTGTAGTTCAGCCTGCAAAGATTTCACTCTGTGCCCTGATTTTCAAAGAGCTTTGTATATTGAATCACGCTAAAATCTTATTGCAGTGCATGTAAATATTTCCCTGGGTTTCAAAGAGCTTTGTATATTGAATCACGTTAAAATCTTATTGCAGTGCATATAAATATTTCCCTGGGCTTGTTAACGCCACTGCTTGCAGTATGCCTCAATTTGGATGTAACCTGAAGTGCAGTGTATGTTATCTTAATGCTCATTACCTTTCACTGTGATTGCTTGTACTGATCTATGAGGATGTTGGGTTATCTTGCATTGTGTGGGTACATGATTTCTGTAATTCAATACGTATGTGTAACAAAGAAAATCTCAAAGAGTGACTGTCTTTATGGCAACATCTTTTAAAGTCACCGAATAATTTAGCACAAGTCAAAGAGCCTTTTTTTACGTATCAGGTGGTTTATCAGTGTTAGCCTTTGTCTTGCCTTTACTCTAGTGTCTTTTCTGTGGATGGGAGTGTGTAGTTCAGTAATTTATAAAGCTTTTCATCCTGACAGACTAAGAAAATGTCTTGAATTTTTACAATGAGCTGAAAAAGAGTTTTCATGCAGGGCCACTATTTATTCAGTTGCTATATCAAATACTCAGATCTTCTGGTCAGCACAGAGCAAACACTTGTAAAGCAGGGAAGATTGTGCAATATTTTTTTAGTATTACCAAGTTGTATTTGTTTTGTGTCTCTTGATATAGATATATAGGGATATGTATGGACAAAATAATGCTTTCCCTTTCTGATGTGGAGGAATTGAAAGGAATTACATTGTCTATTCCAGTTTTACAGCAGCAGAGAGTCTCCTGCAGAAGGATGATTCCTGGGGACACCCTAGATAGTTCTAAAACAACCCAAACTAAACTTGTTGGATTGGTAAATCTGTTTGGATAGGTCATGATAAGTGAAATAAAAAGTTTCATATTTAATTGCTGCAAAGTATCTAAGTACTGTAAAGACAAAGTGGTAAAAAGGATGTGGTTTTGAAACTATCAATTCGTGGCAGAAAACGTTAATTTCATTTGTGCCAATCTGCTGCAGCTAAGAGCTGACTACAGCTGGCAACACTTCGTGGAAGGGCTCCCATTGCCTTGAAGGTTATGAAGAATACCAGTAGGTCATTGTTTCCTCTGTCATAATTCAGTGGTTCTTGAAGAGTTCTTTAAAATTAAAGATGAAGAAAAACTATTCTGAGGAAAGATGTCAGTTATGCCAAGCTTTGGTTTTTGTCTTGCACTGCAGTAGGCTGGATGATATGAATGAATTACCATTCACATAAGCAAAACAGCACAAATGCTACTAAAGTCAGAACTTTTGATGTTTTTCTTGCTATTGTGATAGTGCCAAAATATTTTTTGGTCAAGTTGTTCAACACTATGGAAGCAGTTCCACATAGTCATTCTGTGTGTGAATGAAATGTGGAAATAAAGCCATCCTTTCTTTGTGCTAATGTGTCAGTGAAGGAAGGCACAATATCTTCCAAATAGTCATTTGGAAGCTTTCAGAACTGGTGCTGAGAAGTAAAATATCGACACATGACAGACATGTCTTTAAGAGGGAGCTTAAGGTTGTGAGCAGGATGTAAATTTTACTGTTCAATGAAGCAAATTAAAGAATTAGAAGGAAAGCAAAAGCCAAAGATTTTTATTATGAAAAAGGGACATAAGGGAAAATAAAAGTGCCTAGTTATCTTGATCCTTATTTTAAAATAAAGACATTTAGGTATAGATAGCAAACGATTTCTCATAAAGGACTTGCATTGTTTTATTATCTTTTTTTATATGTTTTTACATAAAATGAATTCCTTTGATCAGAAAGCTAAACAGCACTAAGAGAGAACTTACTGTTTTGCAAATATGAAACTGATGGTCATTTCAAAAGCTCTTTATTTTTTCCACTAACACTTAATTGCCTTTGAAAGACAAAGTAAGTTAGGCTTCTGCCAGCAAGTCAGATTCTAACATTCTGGTAAAATGATTAAAGGTTTGACTAATGATATTTAAACAAAAAGTGTAATAGGTTGTAAAATGTACCATCCCATTGGGAAATGAGATATCATGGGCCTGATGTTTCTAGTACCATATGCATGGAACTCCCATTAACTCCACTGCACTTTCTGTACTGGAAAAAATGTAGGATTGGGCCCTTATGTCTCCTTTCTGCACCATTATTGGCAAGAAATGGTAGGAAACAGGGCTGGTTCTGATACCAAGGAAGAAGAAAAGATGCTGGTTCTGAAAACAACAGGGAATGAAGTTAAAAGCCCAGGTTTGTCCTAATCTGGTCTTACTTGATTCCGAAATTGTTTGATACTTACAAGCTTTACCTTTCTCAATGTTTTGTTGAAAGCTTCATACAAAAGGTTTCACTGTCGATGGCTTTGTAACTGTTTGAATTTCCTCTTGTCCTGTGCCTTGTTTCCTGTGACACTTGTGTAATTTACCATGGGTCACTTTCTGTTACGTGTTTGTGTGACATCATCCCCAAGCACACTTAACCCAAAATCAAATTTCACTTTGGTCATTTATCTAAATAATGTCCTTTGGCACAAATCCCTCTTCAGTGTCATCAGCTGGTTCAGCCTTGTGACAACTCGCTACCTCCCATTTTTCTCCTCTTTGAAATCAATATACACAGAGCTAGCAAACCCAACTGTCAAGGTTGCCTGATACTTCGCTTCATACAAAGGATTATTTGCCAAAATGCAACAGTTGTGTCAGAAACCTTTCATTCCAGGTGCTAAATGTTTTGGAGCAAATTCAGCCAAAACAACTCAGTATATTCCAAGGACACAGCAGAGAAAAAATATGTTGTTTCCCACTGTCAAAACATTCCTGAAACCTTTTCTTTAATGTCTTAACATCCCCCATTGTTGGACTTGATCACAGATCAGGGATTTGAAATTTGGCAGGCAATGGTCTTCTGGTCATGGACAAATCTCTTGCAATGTCTGTGAATATCAACACATATTTTACTACAACCTTTTAAAAAACAAAAACCTCCAATCTTTTCTTTCAGGTTTTGTAGAGGCTTCTTGGATGTTAACTGCTGACATTTCTGAAAACTTTTCCTATTAAGTGTTCTCTGGCTTGTTACAAGTCCTAACTGCAAACAGATCATATGCATGCAGCCTCCGTAGAATAAATTAATATGTTTCTCTTCCAGAACTTAGATGTTTAAACTGTCCTTGAGGTTGCTCTTTCTTTCTATTTTGCTGCATACAAGAATAGGTGCCACAGCATGGACCCTGTGATGCCTCCTACCTCACAGTCAGGCATTCAGGAGAGATTTTGTGGAGAGCCTAACTGCAAACAGATCATATGCATGCAGCCTCCGTAGAATAAATTAATATGTTTCTCTTCCAGAACTTAGATGTTTAAACTGTCCTTGAGGTTGCTCTTTCTTTCTATTTTGCTGCATACAAGAATAGGTGCCACAGCATGGACCCTGTGATGCCTCCTACCTCACAGTCAGGCATTCAGGAGAGATTTTGTGGAGAGCTTCAGAGACTGGGGGT